GCTGTGCTAGGTCCCTGCAAGACTCAAAGGAAACACAGAACCTGCCCTGAAATAAAAAATGTCACCTGGCGGTGCTGTCAAGGCTACCATCACCTCATCTTATCAAGGCAGCCTTGCTGGGCACAACACAACAAACATCCTCAGTGACAGCCACTCGGTTTGCTTCTGGGTGAAGGTTAATTAGGTCATCCCATGGAAAAGATTATCAGAAGTCTCCCTCTCGCTATGGAAAGGTTGATGGGAAAGTGGAATCCAAACTGAAAACCCTGAAATAACGTTACGTTAGATATAAGCAAGAGCTCTCAACCTTGGCTGCCTAATTAGAATCACCTGGGAAGCTTCTTCGAGTCGCTCCAAAAGCTTAGGCTGCATTCCAAGAATAATACTTCGCTCGGAGTCTGGGGGCGGTACTCTGGGCAACAGCAAAGCTCCCTAGGTGATCCCAATGTGCAGCTAAGACTGAGAGCCATGGTTGAACTGTCCTATTGTCCTATGTAAACACAGCAATCAGGAGAGGGTGGGTCTCAGAGGGTCAGAGACTCAAGCAGCAAGACAAAGGCATCCATTTACCCAGAGGTAGGGCCTGCAAAACTTCAAAGAGAATTAGCAGAGGCCTTGTGAATCAATTCAACTTCCAAAAGTTAGCCATCTGAGGGGCTCCAGTGGGCCACCTGGCCTGTAACTTGGAATTCAGCAAAAGTTTCCAACAGAAAAGTACGATGCTCTCTCTCTGAAGGGCACTGCAGACCTCACACTCCTCAAAACATTGACTTTCGAATTAAGTACTTGGAGGAATGGCAGGCAAAAATACTCCTCTTACTGTTTAATTATTAACTTTCCTTTTGCAAAATGTTGTTTTTGTTTCTGTGATGAGCCTTTGCAATGAAGTGTCTGAAGTCATATGCAAATATGATGTGACCCCAGTACAGTTAAGAGCTACTATAAGCAGAGGGCAGGCAAGAAGTTGAGGTCAGCTGTAAAAAAGCTTGTAGAACTTACTCTTTTTTTCTAAGGATCACTGAATATAAAACTAAAAGGCTTTTCAGAAGTTAGGCAGGGCTGCCCTTTGTCCTTAGGAAATTCTGTATCTAAATCATCCATGCAGATTCTGCAGAACCTTTAAGAAGATCAGAAATACTTCCTTTACTGCAGGACAGGCCTAGAATGAGAATTTCTGAAGTTGGAGACACTACAAACAGCAAAAAATATGAGGCTCTTCAGGCTTCAGTGAAATCATCACTAGTAAACATGAGTTATAAGCTAACTCAGGGTTAAGAGTCCTGCCACTGAGCAAATGCCTTTGTAATATTTATTCAAGAAGTCATAAATTCTAATATATGTTCATACGATACTCGAGAGGCATTCTGATAATTAAGGCTTATCAACAGAGTGGGCAAATGCATATGAATCATTTCTTTAAAAAAAAAGTAGGCAAGGTAAAGGAAATAATTTTCAAGGCTATATCTTAATTGAAAAAACATGTTGGTTAAAAACCAAGTGCTGAACTACATTTCTAATAAATTTCCTTTCCTAAGCAGCCCATCAAGTAAAGGGGAAGATTTTCAGTAACCTAGCTGAGCAATAATCTCCCTAACACTTAAAATAAAACCTCCTAAAATGACTTTTAATTCCCTTCTACATACTTTCAAGAAAGTGTTCCCAGCTCTGAATAAATCAGATAATGGCAATAAATACTCAGCAGTAAGAGGTGGGGGAAGATTGTGCATCCCTGTGCAGGTGAGAGCTAACTAAGGTCTTGTGCATCCCTGCCTGAACTAATCCATTGTTTCAAGTGATACAATACTATGTAAAGAAAACATGTATGGTGGTTCTTCAGCTATTTACTTAATACTACTGGCACCCCTGTCCTTTTGTCATTTTATGACCTAAACGTGGTACTTTGTTACAAGCTGCAGTTTGGAATCAGGACTAGCCCACAGAGAAAATTATTCAGAAACAATAGAAAAGGAATGGGCGACAATGACCTCACCAAGTAACAGAGGAAACAATGAGTCCATTTTTAAGTTTTAAATTTGCCCCAATAATAATAATCTTCTGCTTCTCAAGTGCCATTTAGTTGTAAAGTCCTTCCTTTTGCTCATGTTGGCTTCTGAAGTAGAGCATGTGTTGTCTGCATTTAAGAGATGGGGAAATGCAAGACCACAGAGGTTACATGACGTCTCCTAGGACTAGGGTGGGCAACCCGTAGACTAAATCCACTCATGGCCTGTATTGCATGACCCATGAGTTAAGAATAGCTTTTACAAATGGAGTTTACAAGCTTGTTCATTTACACATTGCCTCTGGCTGCTTTGGCACTACAACAGCAGAGCTGAGTAGTTGCGACAGAGACTCTATAGCCCTGAAAGCCCAAAATATTTATTCTCTGGCCCTTTACAGAACAAGTTTGCTGATGCCTGTCCAAAATCCACTGGGGAGCCGTGAGCAGAGCCCAGATTTTTGGGACCTAATCCAGTGTTCTTTCCATTCAAACTTCTGCCTCTCCTCAAGCCACTGCAGCATGGAGTTTATTCCAGGCATCTGTTTGAGGAATAAGAGGAAGTTTATGAAACAATGAAGTAGGTACATGAAGTAGAAAGAAAGAGGCATTGAGGATGAAGCCAGATACAGCGAATGAGGAGGAGCCGGGAGGTACGATTGCTTCCTAGTTTCCCAGGTCTGCAGGATGGACAGGAATTCTGTTCCAGGATGGGCCATATCCAGAGTCTCACCCAGGCCTTAGATGGCTTAAATGATGAGATCTGAGGCCTTTTGAGTTGACATTTAGATAGATTTGAGACTCGGAGCTGACACTGGAATGGGTTAAGACTTTGGGGATACTGAAAGGGTGTGAACATATTTTGCACACAGGATAAACATGAATTTTGAGGGAAGCAAAGAGCCCAGATTCACTGTACTGGGTTGAGTAGTGATCCCTTGAAGTTCATGCTAACCTGAAAATTCAAGAAGCAACTTTATTTGGAAATAGGGGTTTTGTATATGTAATCATGTTATGAAGAGGTCCCACTGGCTATAGAGTGGGCCCTAATCCAATGACTGGGAACCTTAAAAGAAGAGAGAAATTTGGACACAGAGAGGAGAACCCTGTGTGGACACAGAGACACTGCTGGGAGAACTCCGTGTGAAGACAGAGGCAGGGACTGGAGGGACATGTCCATAATCCAAAGGACGAAGGACCGCCAGCCACCAGCAGAAGGCAGGAGAGAACCAGTAGGAACTGATCAGCCTTGACTTCATACTTGCAGCTTTCGGGATGTGAAAGGATGCATTTCTGTTTAAGCCATCCAGTTGGAGGTACTTTGTCACAGCAGCCGCAGGAAACTAATGCAGGTAGTGGGCAAGTGGGCATGGCCTTATGAAAAAGAATTAGAAGCAAGAGAAAAGGGGAAAGTGGTGGACTGTCAAACCCCATAAAACATTTTATTTAAAATATTAACTCAGGGTGCCTCTAGAAGATCTTGAGGGAAAGTAAAACAGAAACCCAGAGACCTAGATTACTCAATCTGATTGGTAACACATGTTCCAAGGTAAGCAGTACTGTCCTGCACTCGAGCCTTACATCCCAATAGGTCTGCTTACAAGTCCATCCCCGAATTCCCAGCTTTCTCCCATCACCCAATATGACCAGTAAGCAAAACACATCCTACAACAGAGGAAAGTAGATTAACTAAAAATTAGAAGGACGTTCCTGACATACCTCTTCTCTGAAATAAACCTAAATGTCCAACAATGGCCTAATTTTGGAAATACCTTGTGTAAGTGATTAAAAAGGAATTGCACACTTTAAAAAAGACAGAATACATGCACTGAAAACTGTGTAAAGAATCACCACACTCCCTGCTGGAATCTCCCAGTGGCTCGGGAAGCACCTCCCACATGACCCAACACCAGAACCACTAAGAGCTAAACCCCTTGCACACCTGCTTTTCAGCATATCAAGAAGGCTGAAGCAGGACACACTCAGTCATTCCTTCAAGAAGGCCAGGAAATGGTAGTGAAGACATGAGGCTGCACACACAATGTAAAGGTAAGCCTCAAATTTGGTGCATGCTGTATTTTCCTAGGCAATCCAAGGACCAAGTAATAAAAAATGTAGATTAATTGCTTTAAAACTGTTAGTATATCAGATAAAGGTAATATATATGAATACAGGTGCCACAGGTTCATGACAAAGTTGTCCTTGGGGCCCATCCAAAACCCCAAGCAATTCTGGCATTTCAACTTCTTAACAGATCCACAAGAAATTTATCTTAGTGTTTTTCTCCTTATTATCAGGTCATGTTGTACCTCAGTATCAATGATTTAAAATGAACTCTATTTTTAATCCAGACTTTTTAATGAATGCACAGCTTTTTTCTATGCATTTGCATTCTAACATGCTATATAAAATTTTATTTGCCTCCTCCTCCCATAATTTTCCTAAGGTCTTAAACAGTGGTGATAGGAAAGCAAATGCCACCTTGATACCATAACTTTATGAGAGCCCATTGCCAGATGGGACATAAGCAGCATTCTCATAAACCATCCCTTAGGTCCTAAGAGGTACTAGCTCTCAAGGTAAACAAACAAACAAAACCCACTGATTTTGCTGAGTAGTCTGCAGGCCATTTATGAAAATATTTCCTAAGACTAGAAATTTTAGAAAAGTTGGCCACTTTTGTCTAGTGAAGAAATTAACTACCTTATCTTAGCTGAAAAAAAAATGTCTTCCTTTTCTCAGCATCTGGAAAAAGCAACCTACATCACTGCCCCCATTTCTGAATCCCTGCACCCTGGGAAGCACCACACTACTCCCACGATCAAACTCCTGCAGAAATAAGACCACAGCGCTGACTAAATTCATCACACTCCACTGGAGTTAGAGCTCAAGAGCTTCTCTGGGACACTGACCAAAGCACTCAGTAAATCTTTTTGTTCAAAGACATATGTTAACCGGAGTAGGAAAGCGTGCATTCATAAATGGGGTGCCAGTGCTTTACCTTATTCTGCTCACACACATACGGTATCCTTAGAGTGTCCATGGCTTTGATCATGGCTTGCATGGCGGTGAATATGTTTTGGTAAACCAACTTCGTGAACCCCTTTCTGTCTTCATCACTGTAACCAGATCCATGGATGATTCTCATTTGCTTGATAAAGGTGCTTTTGCCACTCTCACCAGTTCCTAAGAAGATGAAACAAGTGATAAATGCAATCAGCAACATTCAAAAGGAACACACTGAGAAAGNCACACACACACACACACACACACACACACACACAATTTATTAAGGACACATGAGTGTCTGTCACTCAGAGGAATCCTAAACATCAGCTCTGTGACTAAGTCTGTTTAGACACCAAGGAACTGCTCCCCCACATTCCTTGCCCCAAGTACTTCTAACAGTGGGCAACAGGGTCTGAAAGGTTTTTTCCGAACCTTTCAACTGAAGGGTTTTGCCATTGCTAATCCCACAGGGCAGCAATAGACTCTGCCTCCAAGTGCAGGGAGGAGCTGAGCAGAAGGAACACCTGGGCAGGAGGAAAGTCTCCTGAACTTGTCAATTCCTTCCTTTTGGATACATTAATACAATTGTCCTCTGAACAATGAACCACCAGCCCCACTGTGCTATGTGTACATTCTTGCACCTGCTCACATTCCAATTTCTAGTTGAGGAGGTCCTCCAACTGGTAACACTTGCACATGGTGGCCATGGAACATTTTCTAAAATCAAATCATCCCTACTACTCTTAGATTTGTATAGATATCCAGACATAACATGTATGAAATATGATACCAGGGCTTTACCTTAACGTCAGATTAGGATATTGCTTGAAAAGACAGTTTACAAGTTGCAGAAGTGATAGAGACCTATATGATGGAATTAAAACATTTTCTAATATTTTATGTGATAAGGATAATTTATTGCATCTGAATCTAATATACTACATGTCAATTATGTCTCAATAAAATAAATAATTTATTGTATGAGATCCATTACCATGTTGGTAACATATATACCATATATTATATTTATGGTTTGTTTTCAAATCTAAATATTGCTTTAAGAATTTGTTAATTCAAACTGACATGCCCTCAGCAGGGAAAACTTTCTTCAAATCGAAATTACTGAGAAACTATCTCAGAACTAAAACCACTCAAGAAAATTTAGGCATTCCAAATGGGTGAATTGTATGGTGTGCAAATTATATTTCTATAAAGCTGTTGTAAAAAAGGAAAAGTGGTCTAACAGTATTTCTGTCAAAAGAACACAAATAACATGAAAATCTTAATTAGACATTACTACATGGTGCTTTTGCTCTGAAGGCAAAAAATTACGGAACAGGAAATGATTTCGTTATAAAATCTTTATTATTCATCCACATCTCATTGACCCTAAAGAACATGCAGACAGTGCAATTACAAAGCCAATCATCTCTGATACTTTGCCGCCTCTTAGTCATATAAAAACCACAGCTGTACACATCTTTTTGACGTTTTAGTTATAGAGACATGTTTGTGATAGGAAGAGGATAGAATGTGTTGATACTGGTTTGTTAGCTTGATTATAACCTGTAACTCTTTGGGTTTATGGGATGTGAGACTACAAACATCAAAGCGGGGCCTGTTGTAAGGGCTCTGAAAACCACTCAAGGGACTTAACTCAATTTTTCCTTGTCAACAATTTAGATAGTGTTAGTATTTGACATAACTTTTCCTTGTAAGAAAAAAACGTTCCTTCAGATTGATCTTTCCAAGACACAAACCTGCTTTCCTGTCTGCCTCCCCATCCTTGGCTCCAAAACTCCCATCAGGAGGAAAGACGGAACTCCTCGCTGTGGTCACCACGGCAGCACACTCCCCCGGCCTCTGGGCTCCAGCCACGCTGCCTGCCTTCTTGGCAGCCTTTGCTCATGCTTGTTCGCAGATAACGTGTTTCACTAACCACTTAGCCCAGTAAGTGTAGGGCTTAGGAGTCACTCACCTGAGTACCGTGAACACTGTGCCTGCTACAGTCACCTCTCAGAATGGTGCAATGCCGGAGTGAATGGAACAAATGTGAGAACTTTTCTTCTGTTGGTCTTATATCATGGACAACTGCATAAACATATGATAGGAATTGTCTAAAGAGGGTTGCCATGAGGCCAGGTGCCCCGAGGCTGCTGTTTCACCATCTGGCTGCCTAGATCCTACATGATGATGTGAGGGCTTGTGCGAGGACCCTGTACTGTCTGAGCCTGGCACAAAGTGCCAGATGAGATTAGAGCTCGGCTCTTGCAGAACCTTCGGGTCCCTGCACCTCCTCCCATCCAGGACGCTGCCATGCTTTCCTCCATGCCACCCCAGCAGAGCTGACCTCTGGTCCAGTGCTACCTTACCCCAAGCAAATATTAATACTTCCACATTCAATGCACCACAAAACTGATGTGAACAGAGAGGTTATACAACTACCTCAAGGCAAAGTGGGATTTTGGCCCTGAAGCCAGAAAAATCACTGAAGGCTCAGCCAAACTTTTACTAAAGCAGAGAACCTTCTCAACTATAAAGGCCATTCACTTACAAGCCAACCCCACCACCAGCCCCAAACGCACATTTTTATAAAGTCAGTGAACTTTGCTTTTGAACATGGAGTATTTCAAAAAGAAAATGTTAAAAGTGTTTTTAAAGAACAACACAAAAGAAGATATGAATATATTTGATCAACACCAATATTTAAAAATATTCTTCAGTTCTAGGTTGTGCTTATTTGGAGAAAAACTACAAATATGGAGTCAAAAAGCACAGGTTAAAGGCAAAGAGAAGAGACTGAAAGAGACACACACCCCCAGGGTTGGGGAGAGAGTGTGGGCGAGTCTCATTTAAGCCTCAACACAGCCCAGTTAGTATCCTTTTCCAGAAGAGAAGCTGAAAACCAGAAAGATTACATAGTTTATTTAATCTTCATCCAAAGTCAAAGTTTGTCCAAGGTCACTCAGCTTGAAAGTGTTGGGTCTGCACTGGTATGTGCACTTCCATGATAACACCATGCGCTAGTTTTACACTGAGTGTTTCCCCAAATAAATGGCCAAGTCACACTGTGCTATCGGCTTCAGCATGGTCTTCATCTGGTATGGAGATGGCAACACTTGCAACTTTATCTCAATCCTTCAGAGCTCTGCTCTAAACGAGATGGTTCCAGCAGCAGATGGGGGCAGGTGTCAGGGGGAGGTGAGGGTCTCTGCAGTGACAGCTGTGACCAAGACCATAGGCACCAGGAAACTCAAGCTAAGGGTCGGAGCTGAGTCTCCTCATGTGTTCTAAGCAGAAACTCAACACTCAGACATTAAGGACAATTATTCATTTACTCTACACAAGTAAAAGAAAAACCTAAGGCATGTGATTTTTAAGATGACAATAATTGGTGATTGGAGAATTAGGGGACTCTGCTTTTACACCCCACATAACGGGACCCGTGCTTACCCAAAGGTGTGGTTTGGGTAAGCACAGGTCCACTGTGCTGTGTTTCTTATGTTTCTGTGGCTCTCTGACCAGCTCCCCAACAAAATCACTATGCTGGTGGGGGCATGTGTAACTACAAGAATGAAGGACAACATGAGCCTCTCCCAGGAGCAGCTTCTTGTTCCCAGGGGATGCCTTGGCTTGGAAGGCGAACTTTGGTGTCCTGTTACCAAGGGATTCAATCAGAGGTTACGGTTGGGGGGGAGGGGCGCCTGGGACCACAGCCCAGAGAGCTTTCACTCCTGGACCCAATGCTAGTAAAACAGATGAGGAAAGGAATAAAATGGCAATCCCACATCTAGATTCTGTTCCAAATATAAAAAAGGGAAATAACTTTTCTTCCCCATTTAATTTTTGCTTTACCATGTTCATATTTGGAAAATAAAACCAACAATGGTTATAAGTACTTTTGAAATTTCATCAAGAGCCTGCTCTGTTTGAGGTTCTTGCTTATCATCATCCTTTTGCAACTGTTGCCTGTAATAAAATCAGTAGGTAAGGCGATCTGGCCAGTAACAGAGATCCCCCAGAGGGCCTGGGGCCCGCTGTCTGACTCCTTGCCCTCTGACCTCCGGGCAGGAGACCAAACTTCACTGCAAAGCTCTGCCCGTGATCCTCTGTCTCCCTCCGCCCCTTAAATGTGAGTTAGTTCCCTTTCTTGGGTAGACACCCTCAGTAAGTGGTTAAACTGAACATGCTTATCTTTTTGGCATATATTCTGGCTCTGGCACAGTCAGCAGACACAGAAAATTGGTTTTCTATTTTAAGCGAAGGCTCACCTCCACCAGCTTCCTGCTTTCTGTGGGTGGGCTGTGCGCACCTTTGACCTTTCAAGGCTGGAGGCTTTCCCACAAGACGCTTGCTCCTGGCAGTCACTTAACCACTATTTCTCAAAACTCCATCATTTGTATACCTACCTTGTGATTTTTTTTCATATCCATATACCACCTGTATGATGATCTAATATTCAAAAATATTTTTATTTATATAAGCTCATTTTGAAAGCTTGAAATGTGAATGTCATAAATGAAAAACTAGTACCATTTTCCAATTAAGCATATTACAATAAAATTAGATTCCAAGAATATTCCAACTAAAAACATCGTCTATCACCAGTGATCTGAGTATCACACTGAGAAACAGTACAAATTATTGTCTTTTTGTGAAATTTACCCTTTTATTTTTCATTTTTAAAGGAGCTTTCCCCTCTTTTTCTCTAGAGGTTTCTGGAATTCTACCCATGAACCTCATCCAGATACAAAAAAATGGAGGCTTAAAACTCACAAAACTGAAAAGGGGCCAACAAAATGTCTTCATTCTAAAATTCTAACCTCAGTCTGAGATTTGAGAAGGCAATATGAGATTCAAGTTTCAGCTTAATTTTGAATCCACAGAAAGGCTCATAGAAGAAGAAAAAAAAAGTTGCTTTTTTAGGAGCCAGGAGGGAAGAGAGGCCAAAGCAAAATAAATCCTTTCCAAGTGATAGACCAAGGACATCTAAACAGAGAGCCAATTGTTTTAAGTTTTCCTGCAGTCTTTAGTACAGGCCTCTCCCTGAGAGCCGAAGCAAGGAGCTGATAAAGCATCTCAGATCGGCAGGGCCATCTCCTACAGTCTGCAAGGTTTTCTGAAACCACCTGTGAGAAGTCACTGTTTCTTCAGCTCAGTTTTATAGAAGATGATGC